GCCCGTGCATGAATAATGCATATGTAGATTTGTTTTATGTTAAAGGGGACTTGAGTAAGATCGATTAATTAAAAGGAGCTTGTGCAAAAAAACAAAAATAAAAAGAAGCGGAAGACTACGGATATGTATATTATTTACAGATTGTGATGTACGGATTTCGAGGTAGTGTGATAACGTTTCAAAGGCCGGTTGACCGACGCGACCTGGATTTTTTAGGTGTGGAAGCAAAGGTATATTCTTAGGCGTGACTCTTTTTTTCAACTATACCGTAGTAATATCGAGAGTCTTACAACTTTACGTTTTATAGATGGATCGCTTGGAACAATGAGGGTAAACAAATTAGAAGTTTTGATTTTGATAGATGTAATCGTTCATTTAAACCGTATGAAGGAAATTCGTGATAAATTGGATTTTCACAAAACGAGATGTATTAAATACTGTTACAGTAGAGTACCTATTGTGCTTACCGTTTAAGGGGTACCCAAATAAATTGATACACCGGTTGAAGTCAATTTCTTGCGCAAATGACGTTTATTTTTGCTATCCCTTCAGGATTAACCATGTAAACCAACGATTTGGGCACGAATGTCATTTTAAGATTTTTTATTGTTTTAATGTAACCTTTCTCTACCCTTAATTCATATAGTGTCAACTAGTAGAAAAAGGTTAATTTAAGTTTAAACTAATTGTATGCTTTTTGCTGTCAGTTTAAGTAAGCCAAGTGCCTATCAACTAGCATGAAAAGGTAATTTGATAATGTTTAACCATGTTTGTTATGTTTGTACTCATCACCAACTGATACGCGAAAAATTAAACTTATCGTTTACGCTATGTACAACCGAATCACCCTTACATTACCAATTTGCAAAACAATGTCCAAACCACGAGATTTGGATGAGTCGAGAAACGGCGGCTTTACAAGTAAGTACTTGTTGATGGGTGCAAAATGGTCCTTCCATGCAAGGCCATTCAAGTTGCAGGTTACCATTGAATCGGGGTGGTTTTTTAAACCGTGAAATAACAGATCCCCTTTTCTGCTGACGTATCTTTTTCACTAAAACACCGAGAACAACCCGCATCGTAGGTAGTACCTATACAGCCTATATTTATACGAACAGGCAGCTTCTCGTGCTCATTAATAACCCACGGTCGACCATTTAGCTCCCACGTTATCAGGGGAGACATCCGATAGCAGTGCCTCGTCTTTGGCAAAAACTACTTACAAGTAACAACAGAGTCGAGGGAGAAAACACACACACACACACATACACGCGCATGCATCAGGCGTTAAACAAGCCTCATGTACGTATATACCTATGGGACATGGCTCGTGTAGTCCACGGCACGAGTGCCATTTGTGTGTTTACCGATAAAGCAACTCTGCTCCTCCTCCTCCTCCGCGAGTGGTGTACACTTAAGCTCCGCTATGCCATTGTTCCATCACCAATGCAAATGATTATAGGCAAGGTGCACTTCCTCACCAAGTCACACATACACACACAACACTATGTAGATACAGAGTGTTAACCTGAAGTAGGTGTATATACCTACTTATCGTAGTAGCCATAGAAAAGGGATGAAAAAAAAGGGCAAATAAACCTCGATTGATTTGATTGGGGGTAGGAAATAAATTATATGCCAATTGACGACTCGGCTGTTACACATGCATTATAACGTACACGCCATAATATAATGTAATGGCTCTTGTATTCGTGTGTTGTAGCCAACTTTTTTCCCCGCATTGTCAGTTTCGATTCCACTTTGGTCGAAAAATCATCCAATTTCGAGGTAGAAGAGTGTGCACAGGGTAAAGCAATGTAAGAAGATGAGAGCCAAGTTGGTACAAGTAGGAGGTATATATGTATATAGATGCATTGCAGGAGGAGGAGAAAGAAAGACGTCGAGCGACCAACGAGAGCGATAAAGAGAGGAGAGAAAGGGTTGGTAGCCGTTGTAACGCGCTATCGAAGCTGTCGCTGTACATCACGTCGACAGCATCCTAGCGCGAGTTACTCCTGCCGCTCTCCTCCTCCTCCTCCTCCTGCTCCTGCTTGGTTTTTCTCTCTCTCGGCTGGCTACAATAACACGTGTGTGTGTGTGTGGGTACGTGGACATACAAATGTATACAGTCACCCCGAAGAGCATCATCAGCACGCAATCCAGTGCATGTACATGTATACCTACCGACACAAACGCCGACCTCCCCCACACACTTAGGGCTCACGAGAGTTCAACAACGCCCTGCACGCTGGTACACATCAGCTATGTTATGGTGCACGGTGTACAATATTATACCTATATACACTGAGGTCGCGGCTCGACTCCTCGCGAGAGCTGTCTCCGCTGGCTTTCCGCTTAATTGAGCCCGAGGCGCGAGCTGTAAGCCCCGCGAATTAGTCTCTCGCCGCTACCAAGCAGGACTTGCCATTTATATATTACCGATCGCGCCTCTCGAGCTCTTTTACTTACTTATTCGCGTTATATTATGCCCTACACGCTCGGTCGTAGAGGTGCTATACGCATACGTCCCACGCTCGTCGTGACTATACGGCCAATATATCTCATCTGTAAGTATGGGTGACTTTTAATGCGAGCCCCCTCCCTCTCTCGCGCCGATCGTTAATTTTTCCTTTAAACATACGCGCCGCCGATCCCTCGCCGATAGTAATTGTTACGTTCGCTCTCCCCCTCGTTATCGTTTAACTAGTTCTATACCTCAGGTATACTTGTACAGTTGTCGACCGGCGAGTGCGACCGATCTTCGAACGGCTTCTTCCTTCCTTCCTTCCTCCTTCTTATTGCTATTTGTGCGCCAACGAGTCATAAATTTCGGACTCCCGCCCCGAAATCGACGCGCTTCGAGATACCGGAATATAATATATAAGAGAGAAAACGAAGGACCAGAAGAAGAAGATGTCGAGTAAGAGCAAAGGAGGAGGGGGAGGAGAGCGATCGAGGCAGTGTAAGGGTGGGGAGAAATAGGTGAGAAGGAAAAATGCAAATTGACGCGGCGCTCGTTCAAGCGACTTTATCGGGAGTGTAATGCTCGGCTTTATAGCTCGGCGGAGCGAGAGAGAGAGAGAGAGAGAGGAGGACGCGTGCGAAATTTGTACCGCGAAGACTGCAGGGACGGAGAGTGCGACTCTCAATCTTTCTCGCGCTCATCCTCTCTCGGATCCGCGCACCGGCAGAAAAAGGAGCTGCTGCTGCTGTTGCACCGGGAGACACATGACGGCGTCGCGAGAGAGAGAGAGAGAGAGAAAAACCAGTTCCCATGCGGCGGCATGTATACGCCCCGGCAAGGAGGAGGAGGAGGAGGACGAGGGACAGCGACGCGTTAACACGACGCCGATCCTTTCCGAATATTCCCTGGATTCGAGTTAATCGAGCCGAGGTGGAGAGAGATCCGCTCGCTCGTTTCGCCGCAGAAACGTCTCGTTCTTGTCTTAATTCTGAAATAGCTCTTCGCGCCATCCTCCCCTTTTTACCTTGTCCTTTTTCCTCTCTCTCTCTTTACTTACTTCAAAACCTTTTTCGGAATCGGAAACGAAAAAAAAAAAAAAAAAAAAAAGATGCCGCGACACCTCTCTTCGGGTCGCACATTTATAGGGAAAAGGGTCCTCGGACAATAATAATGGTAATAAGAGACGTATGCTCGTTTATTTTTTGTACAAACGATTTTGGGCTTCATTTAAATATATATATATAATCAAAGTCTTTTACAAGAGAAATTACAATTACATGTATACCTACTTATCGCGTTAAACGAGAGTTACATAGGATTATGCGTGCGTGCGTGTCTTTGTTTGTTTATCAATTAATATATACGAGACCGAGGAGGCAAGGCCTTTTTCAAAAGTTCTCTCGTATAGTCTCTGATGCCTTTGGCTCCCTCATCCCGTCAATATACATAATATATTTAATAGCTCTGCTTCCGGACTCGAGAGCGAGGCTATCTTTCGTACTTTCTATGAATAATTTACACTTGAATCACGACTTGGTGCGAATTTTATTGAAAAAAAAATCTTTCGTCTCAGCTAATCGTGCGCTATGTCATATTTACACACACGCTCCCTCTCGCTCTATACATACTCAGGACTAGTTCGCTCGATTTACATGTACATATATTTATACTCTCGACGTGCGTCTTTGGTGCACACACATATACATATTACATCATATTATCATACACACGCGCACTTAAAACAAAGGATAATAATAATAATAATAATAATAATAATAATAATAATAATAATAATTTTTCGCCACCCCCCCTCTCCCCCCACCGTGATCACCTTAGTCTTTTCCTGCACCGAGAGTACATCCGCGCACTAGGAAAATAAAAGACAGTCTTTGCTTCTTCGAGCTCCTCGGCAACACTAGTTAGCGCTAATGCACCCTCCTCGATGATAATTGTAACCGGTTCCGCGTACCGTGCGCCCATGGTCAATTATAAGCAATTTCCCGATCGGACGGGTGATAGCCGCGCACTCGAATCGTTTTGCTTACTTCCCGCACGTCGGACCGATTGGCTAAAAAAAAAAGAAAAAAAAAGAAAAAAAAAGTTACAATGAAAAATAATGCCGGAAAACCAAAGAATTGCTCGTGTACGGTAAGCGCATGGGAGCCCTTTTCCGTATACATATAATACATACACACACACCGCAACTAAACGATACGAGTACCTATATAAATAATGGTATGTACAATAACGCTGAAAGAGCACCATCGGGTACGAATTTAAAAATAAAAGATATATATATATATATATA